CCACTGTGAAAATCTTCTAGTGATTTTTCCGATGCAAGGTGTGATAACTGTACCTAAAAGAATATATCAAACGAATAATAATGTTAGTGAAGTATAGAATAATGCAGTAAAAATGAGAGTATAACCAGATGGCAGTATTTTTTTCGTGGCAGGATGTTTGATTTTTATCGCAACACATTTGTTCGATGCAGCATTTATCATGAATGAGCTCAAATAATAGTGTACCTCAGTAGTCTCCTGCTTTGGCTTATTGTTTATCCTTGTCTAAGCTAATGTGAGAAATTTGGCCCCTACCAATAAGTATTTTTAGAGTAATTTGTGTAGACCTACACTACCCATAATCGCATATCAGTCCCATCTTTGCTTGATTTCCTATCCATATGGGACTGATATGCGATTATGGGTAGTACACAACCGATCATATGTTTAGAGTCACCCTCAAAACAAAATCTGAAAATGTTTTTTGATCATATTTTTACTATTTTCCGTCCAATTTTAGATACGTGGTAAGTGGCTTAACATATTTTTAAAATGTGTAAAGTAAATTTTGACAATAACTGACATCAGTGAAACACCATACTGTGGGGTAACCATAAACTTATAATCGATGACTTAAATAAATATTCTTATGAATTAAGTATTTTATAAATATTTCCTCCACATTTTCACATTTTTTTTTTAGAATTAGGGTTCTACTACTACATTGATTTCAAGTCATGATTCTTCAGAGCAAATTTTTAAAAAGGTTGTAGCTTTGTGTGCAAGAGCCATTTACCTACGTGGAATTTTCCATTCAATACCTTTCAAATGACCTAAAGATCGAAAATCGAACGTAAAATGACAGAGATATGAACATAACAATTTGCATGTTTTTTGGGGTTGACCCCAAACTTATGATCGGCAGTGTAGAGGGATATGACTTTGACTTTTTTTTACATATTCAAATGGCATTTCATAGAAATGTCAGCTGTTCCAAATTTTGCTACGCTTACTGGAATATCCATCTAGTTCTACACTGTATGTTCTAAAAAAAATATGTGTAATTTACATTTTTATCCATCAATTTAAAAAAAATATATGTATGGCATATCTCAAAATTTATAAGAATGGGACAATTATAGTACTACATATAACGTCTGTAATTTTGGCCTATATAGGGGAAATGGCTTTAATGTTGGCCTATAGATCTAAGATTGGGCCCATCGCTAAAAATCTGCTATTTATCCATTTTATCTAGATGAACAGATGGGACAGTAGTAATGGATATTTTTGGTTACTATTGAAAATTTAGTCGATTGCTGAATTAATGTATGGGCTCAAATTAGGGGCATTTAGGCCGACATTACATCCATTTCCCCTGCCTTAAAAATTACGACAATTTTGCTGAATTAAAAAAAATCGATATCGTACTTTCTGCGAGTCACAGGTCAAAATCTTTCAGCATTATTAGCTAAATACCAAACTTTGCCATATGAAATATTCTTCTAAGCACTCCATTTGAAAAGTAGTCTCGAGTGCCACCTATGCGGCAGACATGCAAACTTATCATTTAATCTAGAAACTTTGCCTATAGGAATCTAATTCCAGTACAAGAGGTTTTGGATATGAATTGGGGCAAACAATCTTTATTAGCACTCTTCAGAAAAATAGTTCTAGTTTCGGATTTTGAAGTCAATGATCATGGATTTGGGATAGATAGAAGTAAATCTCGAGTTGAAAATCCTGTGCAGTGATCGGAAAATCATTATCAAATCTCATTAATTGAGCTTTCCTGAGAGAATAAACTCGTGTGTGAATCTGCAAATCAACTTTCATTCTTGAGATTCTCATACATTTTCATAAAAACCGCTTAGACGTCAATTGATTACATGCACATGTATGTATGTTAATTTGACAAAATATCAAGCAATATTTTTTTAATAGGAAATATCATCGGCGATTATTCCGTAGTTAAATTTTGCAAGACAAAACTCGTAGGCTCATGAGTGAAATTTGAGTTTTTGAGTTTTTACGAGCACTCTGCATTTATTTTTGCTTCAAAAGCATTGAGTTATTTGAATTTTTCAAGTGAAGTTTTACTTTTGTCCCACCTTTACTGTAAATAAAGAGAAAGAGAAGGATTACTAATTTCCATTAAATTCCATTACCTTATTTGCTTATCCTTGACAGATACGCGTATTTCGTATACAATGTGCAGACTTCTTCAGTGTCTTGTACTAATGCTCGAGTAGGCAAAATACGCGTATCTGTCAAGGATAAGCAGATAAGGTAGTGAAATTAAATGGAAATTACTAATCCTTCTCTTTCTCTTTATACCTGTATACCACTAAGACGCCCACATTCATCAGGATTTACTCTATACTCGCAAACTCATTTTGGTGTTCTGAGTTCCATATAAATAAGCGTCTTTCATAAAATAATATTGTTTTCATATTTTGAAACATGTTTCTAGATAAAAATAATCCATTATACACGCTGAGATTTTTTGCCGAGATTGGCACCACCGAGCAGGCTCGGCATTTATTTTGACTGGGATCTCAGCAAAATTTATGTTTGTTTGCCGAGATCTCGGCAAAATTCCCGTTTGTTAACTGAATCTAGGCAAATTTTTCACTGAGATCCAGCAAAATAGACTGCCGAGCTGCTCGGTGGTGCCCATCTCGGCAAAAAAATCTAAGTGTGTAGATCTGTATTTTTCATCCTGCATCTATAAAAAAGTTACGATTCCTATAGACAAAACAGTGATTTCACGGATAAGCATTGATTAGGTAATGTGATTGAAATAAATCTCGAGATAACATGAAAAGAGTCATTATACTGTATATAAAAGATTGTATTCACTACCCCGAGGATATTTTTTTATAAATATTAAATAAAACGTTGAGTTCACTCTCAGCTGTTGACAAAACCTGCGATCGTCCGTATAGTCGATAGCTTCTGTGTACTTTGTTCATTGAATGCAGCTCGGCTTGTGCCGTTTGTTGTCATCGGTGGAAGTACAAATTTAAAATTGGTAGAAGTAAAACTACGGTTGGATTCGACTTTCCGTTTTACAAACCCAAGTAGCACAAATTCATAAAAACATGATGAGTAAACTGCTATTGAACCATAACCAGTCATACAAAGGTTCTATAAACTGTTATTGATCATATGTGTTGCTTGGGAAGGTACTGGATGCGAATCTCGTTGAGATGGAAGCAACGTACACAGCAAAACAAGTTGTTGAATATTGCATCGAAACTGCTGCAACCAGGTTAATCCATCGGTTGTGTAATATCACATTGTACGATGTACATCGATTTTGCGAACAAAATTACATCCATTGATGTAATATTGTATCTGCTTTTTGCTATTACATCATTATTTCATACATCAGTTGAATTACGTTGATCGATATTACTTTTTTTTTGCTGTGTACACAGCAAATATGAATATGAATTGATCAGACGTAATTCATGCTGATGTATCAAAAAATGATATAATTGCATAAAACGGATACAATAATATTACATGGGTGGATGTGAATTTGTTCGCAAATCCTACGTACCGATGGAATGACCTATATGCAAGGATGAATCCACCTCAGAGCAGAAAAAAAAGAAAAGAAAAAAAAATCCAACTTCACTCAGTTTCCAATACCATGCAGAGCGCTCCTCTTTACTTCGACTTCCCTTTTTAAAACTGTGGACGGCTGTTCGGTTGGCCTCTTTGAAATTTTTTTTGGCTTGAAGGAATCCTTTAATGCGATGAGTCAAGGAATGCATTTTCTTATTTGGTTTTTATTGCAGTGTTCTAGCAAGTGTCGCTAGACTAACTGATGAGATACGCGCATTTGTATCACAGAGTTCGCGGTTTGAATCCCGGTTTTAAACTTTTTTATTTGTCTTTTGCTACTTCTTTACTTCTTTCCCCACCGGGAACAAATTCATAAGCTTCTGATTTCGAGAGCACATTGAGGAATGTAGCTTTTAGGTAAGATGAGCGCACCACCGTTTCGTTTTGTTTTTGCCTCAGTTTCATAAAACTGTGCAAACGTTATCCCCAATGTGATAAGCTGTAAAGTTTACTCTTTGCTCTCAATGTGTGAGGAAATATCAACCCAGCCTATGTGCATCTGTGTCGATGTAATATTCAACAACTTTCTTTTGCTGTGTACCAGATACCTATTTTAAAATTAATTCACACTTTTATCTTTCTTAATATATTAGCAGAATGATCGTAGAAAACATATTAAATTTCTACAGTACCAAAGTTAGAGCAGTTTTTGTGAAATAAAAATTGTTTCTCTAGTAATTTTCATACAAATTTCAAACCATTCAAACCTTCATCAATCTTTACATTTTTTTTAAAGACCCATATTTTTGGGTCATGAATCCAACTGCAGGGTGGCCATTGCAAATATTTTTTTTTGAAATGATGCACCCTACTGGTATACCTGGGTTTTCTTTACAGAGGGAAATATGGGCAAATGTGATCTTCTCTTTAAGCTTAAGGTAACTAAAGACTTAATTTTTCATAAATATTTAAATGAACTTAGGTGTACTTTTGTTTTCCGGTTTCATTTGGTTTTTTTTATTATTATTTGTTGTGAGTTGTCCTCATTAAAAGGTACCCAACTTGCCATTTCGATTCAGCTATCAAATAGCTAAGAATTCAAGGTTTGAAACGGTTTATAGAAACATTTTTACCGATATGGCATACAATAGTGGAGGTAAACATTGAAAAAAGTAATCAAATGCATTTAATGTATATCAATGCACGTACATCTGAATTTTCTTGACGTATTGACTTATTGTATAATTTTGATCACAATTGACAGCACATTAGTTTGATTCCAGATGGTTTGCATTTTGAATAATCAAATTTTGTAAAAAAAAAAAAATTTATTTTGTCGAACATATTCATAGAAATTGGAAATGTACTCAATTATATTACCATTCCTTAACTCAACATATATTGACAAAAATAGTACAAAGTATCGCCTATCTATTTCAACATACCTGACTAGATGGAAGCGATTCAGATAGTTGTCCCTGGTTAAGCGAAGCGGCATATTGATGTAAATGAGCAGGTGACATGGAGGCTGGTGCCTGTAATGTAGAAATAAAATCTTTAACATTACGTGCAGTATTTCTGCATATAGAGTAGAATCTATGGATAAATTCGACAGTTATCATGTATTAAACGACGAAGAGAATCGATCATCGCGTTTACGCCCTTATGCATACTCACTGTCGAATTGTCAAATAGCCGTATATGCTTTCGTAAACAATGATCCAAACGTAATTTATTTGAATCTGTTAACACACCCACGGAAACTAACACCACCATCCGATACGGTAAAGTTTCCTCAACCTGATGGTGTAAGTTTGTGTGGGATGGCTACCAGTTACGACAAATTAACGTTTGAATAATTATTTACAATAGTTTATACAACTAATTGAAAATGAATTAATGCCGTTATAAATACATATTATGA